ATTGAGCATGCATCAGGAAAAAAAATGATAAGCTACCCAAAACCAGTCCTCTCAAGAACATGGACCCTTATCTGGATGAAAATGGACTCCTTAGAGTAGGTGGACACATCACAAACTCAAATTTGACCCAAGGTGAGAAGAAACCGCTGATAGTTCCAGGCCACCACCATGTTGCAATTCTTCTCATAAAGCACTACCACAATCAGGTCTATCACATTGAGGTGGTAGACTCACTCAACACATCTAGCTTTATTAATGCATTTAAACAGTTTCTGGCAATAAGAGGACCTGTTAAAACTATTCATTCTGATTGAGGTACCAACTTTGTCAGCGCATGTAAGGAACTAAAGATCTCCTCAAACTTGGACAATACAGCTGTACAGACCTACCTGAAAGAACATGGATGTACTTGGACTTTTGACCCACCACATGCTTCCCACTTTGGTGGATCATGGGAGAGAATGATTGATCTGGCCCGGAGAATACTGGAATATATGTTTTTCAAACTCAAGACCACAAAGCTAACTAAAAAAGTTCTCAACACCTTAATGGCAGACATGGCAGCTATTATAAATGCTAGACCTCTTGTCCCAGTTTCTACAGACTCAAGTGACCCTTTCATCTTGATCCCAGCTGCTCTTCTGACTCAGAAGATCATTCCTCTTCAAGCTCCAGCTGGTAACTTCACGGCGTCAGATATTTATAGACACCAGTGGCGACAGGTTCAGCACCTGTCAAAACACCTTCTGGGACAGGTGGAAGAAAGAGTTCCTTCCTACTCTCCAGTCACGTTGCAAGTGGCAATCCAGCCAACCTAATTTGAGCTTAGGAAGTGTTGTTGTACTCAAAGACAGTCAAGTACCAAGAAATGAATGGCCTCTTGGTCTTATAATTCAGGTCTTTCCAAGTAAAGATGATAGAGTACGCAAAGTAGAAATTAAGGTAGTCAAATCAGATGGTTCAAAGCTGTTAATAAGACCTATCTCAGAGATTGTAGTTTTGGTTCCTTCATAAAATATCTTGTTTTTCCTAAAGACTTAATTTGTGGTGTTTATTCACACCAGACAGGCAGTGTTCTGTTATGTAGTTGTAAATGTTATGCTTTCAGAAACAAATTTCATCCATGTAGGACAAAAGGAAAATACTGCCCTCGTGTGTTTATTTCAGGTATTGCAACTTGACAACCTTTTTTTTTTTTTATCTGGACCAAAACTTTATTGAACAACAGTAACAGTTAGACAAGACGGCCGTTGTAACAAGTGACGTTGTCAGCCGTTTCATGGTGTCTTGTTGGAGGATGATTACTGCATGTATCTTGTTTGTGGTTGTATTGCCATTTCACTCTTTTGAATGTCATCAAACCTGCTGACAACGGTTTTCAGTCTCCAGAGTTGTGATATGAGAAAGATGGTAAATAGCCTTTGCATCAAATATACACCAGTAACGGCACAAAGGCAATCATGTAGTTGTACGTGTGTGAACGTGTTCATTGTTTGTTCTACTGGTTTATCTCTCAGACCGCCTGAAGACCAGAAGATGGAAGGTCAGCTGAAGGAAAAGTCTCCAGGATCCACCTGTCTGTCCATGAAGAGTGACCAGTCCAAAAGTGGACCTCCAGACTTCAGTACTGAACCTGGACCCTCAGACACAAAGTAAGAAAACTGTTTCTAACTGTGTCCTGTAAGTCCTCAAAGCACAAAGAAGAGAATTTCATGTTTGATTTCTTGTTGAAAACTGGTGAATTCCCAGTCTGCTTTGATGGGAAGTTTTTCCTCTTGACTTTTCAAGCAGAAACATGAAGATGTGACATGAATGAGAGCGACCGCAGTGACTTGTTCAGCCTGACTCTGTCTGTTTGCTGCTTGTTACTTTGTTCTTGTCTCCATTGTGGACTGTTCAACTTTACATGAGTCCCTGTAAAACCATGGCTTTGTCTGCTTCATGATCACACTTGTATTACTAGCTGGAGTGAC